AAAAAAAAAAAAAAAGAATACGGCCAAGAAAAACTCTACTGGGCTTCCAACAAGGTGTGCAATAAATAAGGTGGTTTGATAAGAACACACATGGGTAGGTATGATAACAGCTAATGGGGCAAAATGTTACACAATTGTAGAATACTGCTGGAAGATATATGGTGTTAATTGCACGTTGTCCCACTTATCTCTAGCTTAGAAAATTTTCATAATAAAAAAGCTGGATTTAAAAAAAAAAACAAAAAAAAACCTGAGGGGCTACTAAGGCGTTTTAAAAGCAGGATCCAGGGCAGGCACTCCCGGGGTACTCAGAGAAAACCCCGATGCCACCCATCACCCTCCCACCCTGAGGAGCAGCACCGCACTCCTGCTCGCCGGGTCTCAGTCCCGCTCGCCCGTTCTCACTACTGCTCGCCCGGTCTCAGTCCGTGCTCAGCACACACTCCATCATCTGGTTCCCAGAACTCAGATTGCGCAGTGGTCAGGTCATCACCGACCAGGGCTTGCAGTTACTGCAGCAAAGGCCCAAACCTCCCCCGTGTCTCTAGCCTAACCGGCTGCCCCTCCTCCCTAGTTTGCCCGCACCTCGTCTTCAGGCCCAAGTCGCCCAACACGTTTTCATAATCCTCTCGGGCTCCGGACACAAGGCACTGCCCACAATGGAGCCCGATCATATAAGGAAAATATCGCTGGCTCATGTAGGGGCTAGATGAGGATCCTAAAGCCCCCCAACCCCACTATACTCTCTACAGCCCACCTCCCACGCCAACCTACACTCGGCACTGCGACCTCCGGCCTAGAAAGCAGCCTGCCGAATCCGCTGTGCCTGCGCGCTCTCCAGAACAGGATGAGAACGTCAGCCAATCCCTCTGCGTGGTCCTCCTTGCCCCGCCCACTCAACTTCCGGTCCCAGTCTACAGCCTTGTGCCAGCTGCAAAGCCGAATCAGTCTGGCTGCATTGGGGTGCCTTCCGACTCAGCGACTTCCACAAGGTTTCTGAGGTTGTAAATCTTCACAGAATCAGACTGCTTTATCTTTCTCCCGTGGAGCAGCTAGTGGGTTCAAATCACCAACCTTTTGGTTAACAAATACATCTGCGATCTGTTGTAGGAGCAACAGGGTTCTTACCCCCTATGAGGCAGAGCAAATTATCACAACAGGTTGAAGCAAAAGAATGTATTGAGTACTGATCAGCAACAAGAGTCACATCTCCCAAAAAAAGTTTGTCTCCCCGAGCTGGGAAAATGGTTAGAGTTAGGAAATTGGGCTATGGGGTAGGAGGGTTTGAGGACTGCTGATATGCTTTCTTCTTGTTACCAGGATAAGTGTTACCCTGTCACCTCGCTGTTTTTCTTCTGATCAGTAGTAAAAAGCTGTTGGTCAGGTGAAAGTGTCCTTAAAGTTCCCACACCTGCCTGGAGTAGGCACCTTTAGGCCTCTCCCTCTGGCACATAACAACTCTGCCAGGGATGGCTCTTGTTGTTGTTATTTGCCATCGAGTTGGCCCCCGACTCATAGCGACCCCTCCTTGGGTTTCTGAGGCAGTATCACTAGGGAAGTAGGAATGCCCAACCTTCCTTCCGAGGAGTGGCTGGTGGGTTT